TGCGAATGAAATTTTTTATTACCTATTAACTAATAAGTTTACACAAGTAAAATTGTTTAAATCTGTCTTCACGAACAATCTGACCTATACTGCAACAACAACAAACTTCTAAATTCCAGAAGATTGAAATTTTTATATTTCATTCTATGAAGGCTGTCTTTTGCAGACTCGAGACTCTTAAAGCAACGCAGATTATTTTGATGATTACGAAGAATCAAAATTAAGAACAGTGCTCTCATAAAAACACTCAAAGAAAGGAATGATAGAGTTAATGAAAAGGGAAAATAAAATAATCCTCATGACTTCCTAATTTTATCAGACTTTAAGGAAAAGAAATACTTTATTAAGACAAAAAAAATCACGTTTATATCTTAAAGTCTGAGGTCAAGCGCGAAGTCGAAAAGTCAACTTTGATAGTGATCAAGCTGCACACTTCCTCCTCAAATGAAACATTCTCAATAACAATGGCTATTTTGCCAATGCAATTTTATTCAAGATTCCACGCCTTTAAAAGCAACAAGTCAAATTAAAAAAATATTTTAAAGATTCAGTGGTAATAAATCTTTCCTCTGTGACTATATGTGACCAAACTCAGTTTTTATAACTCACGTTAAAAACAAATTAGTCATTTCAAATTAAAAATTAAATTCACCTTAATATGCTTATATCAAACAACAGATTATTTATCTTAGGCAAAGTTCATGAAGAATTTTATAAATTTAACCTGAGTAGTGATGTTCCGCACTAATAAAATAAGAGGGATTGAATGATGAGGCTCAAAGCCTCTCTGATCGAAAAAATAAACTTTTCCTCCTTGCAATCGAAAAGGATTGAACTAAAACTTTAGTTTACTTTACTGCTTGGATGAAAATCAAGTGACAGCTTAATTATATATAAGGTAAAGAGAAACTTTTTAAAGATGTAATTTAAACGAGGTATTGAAAAGCCGCTTAGAAGGAACTGAACCACGAGAATAGATTATTTTAAGACCTTCAAAGGCATAAAAAAGTACAAAAACAAGGAGACGGTGTTTGCTGCCTTTGATTAATGATTGTGAAGTGTTTACCGAGTGCTGTTTTGCACTTTAAGACCAAAATATTATTTTAATAGACAGCAGTATTTAAGCGAAGACTAGCAAATATTTGAAAAATGTATATGTTCTTCAAATTATTTAAATAGTTCTAACAAAGAAATTAAATGTTCAGTTAGGAAATGAAGAGTTTCCGAAATGAATTTGATGTATAATTTCTATATTATTACTGCTCAAACATTACAATTTTTAACCAGACAATGAGAAGTTACCACCGAATTTTAAGCATTTACTAAAGTTTGCAGAATAAGTAAAATATATCCTTAGTTCAAATATCATCTTGAATCATTGGTGTACAGCCGGAAAAGACCTACAGAGTGGTTAGGTGCACGAAAGGTCTCTAGAACCTTGGACTGAAACCGTAAATAACAGCAATGTTTTAAGTTATTTAAATTTTTTTGGTGTATATATTGTACGAAAGATAATACAAAGCAAATTGGCATAGCATTTAACAATAAAGTGCCAACTCATTTCAACATTTAAACGACACTGTTCTCTCTGCTTCAGATGAAAAAAGTGAAAGGACGAGAATGAGTACATAAAAATATGAAAAAACAGAAGCCGTATTTTGATGAAGAAAGCTTTAACCTGTTGACTACCACGGACGAGTGTAAAACTTATAGATTTCCATGCCATAGAAGTCAGTACACTTCAGCATTATATTTTTGACAATAAATGGTACTACCTGTACTTTTTTCATTTAAACAACACAACAATATTTTTCATATATGCCATAGACCAAAAAGGCATCAACAAGATAAAGATGTTGTTGCCTTTCAAAATTTTCTTCTTTTTTTCACAATAAGTATCATTTTACAAAGGCGTCGAATCTGCATTCACTCTCCTGCTGTCAAGTAACACTGAACGGTTAGTCTGCAGAAACGCTTCCTTTACTCTCACTTACTTTATTATTTTGAGAATTATTTCCCAACTTTCAACTTCATTACGCGTTTCTTTACGATCATTTATAGTACTGCAACTGCAGAAATATTTATAACATGTAACGTTTGAAAACTTGCCAGAAAAATATATCACGGACTTCATCTTTTACGAAGGTGATAAAAGCAATCTGTTGCAGATCTTCATTTCTAATACACTATTAAAGAATTAATGATTTTTTTAGTATTTTGTTCACCCAAGATCAACTGCTACATGCATTATGTGGTAAGAAATAACTTATTTTATTTTCTAAGTATTTCAAGGCGAAATTTGCAAAGTAGAGCGCAAATCTATGACTGTGTTTGCTTTCATTTTCTAGAACAAATCTAAGACAGGGATTACACTTTTGGTTTTCATATTCCGAAAGTAACAGAAGAGTGTTTTCAACTAAATTCTTTCATTACACTTATAGAGTCATTAGGTGATTTTGAAGCCGGAAAACGTGAAAAATGACCCATGCTCTGGCCGAGCTTGGACCTCTCGAATACGCACTGAGTGTGCTGATCATTACGAAGGCATCCTAGAAGACGGGAAAAATACCTTATACACTTATTTCTCATTACATGCGCTATATTTGTACTCATTGTACCTGTTTTGTGTTTCTTTGTAAAATATATTGAAACAAATTAAAATTATAAGGAAAATATGCACATTGCATTATTTCATCATTTTTAGTAAAGCAAATGTAATCGCTGCAGGAGATCGCGGCTAATAACCAGTCGTCGAAATCCTAACTGCTTACATTGAAATATATACTGAAATAATCGGATGGTGTTATAATTCTTGGAGATCCCACACCCTTGGCGACAAACTGGGAAAGTGCAGAATCACCCACTGCTTCGCGCGTTTTTTCAAAATCGCCAACTTGAAAATAACAAGTCAAAAACATGCACAAACTCGGTATCCATGTACACATCGACGTATTTTCACTTAAAAAAAACATCCCAGAATTGCACAAACTTGGCACTGCACACTCCCTTGACTTTGTCCATGTACACATCGATACGCGCCATATAAGTGGGGCGCGCCAAGGGTGTGGGCTGTGCTAGGATCCAACCTAACATCGTTTAATGTGATCAGCATGTTGCAAATGAATTATATTTCTCATCCATCAGCTAAATACAGGTAGTTTGACCTGGTTTAGATTCGATCCCAAATGAACGGGCTGGCTGCATGAATGTCTTCATGGTTTCTTTCATGTGTAACTTGGACACCAGCCAATTTCCCTCAAAAAGTCCTCCAAGAAGGCCTCCCTACTCTTAAAAAGCTAACCTTTGCGTGATTTTCCTGTGACAAATTTATCAGAATGGCTTGTGTGGATATAGATAAAAACTTTCAAGTTCCAGCTCTGATTAATGAGGCAGTCGACTTTTCTAAAATGTTGATGTGGAAATGGGAGAAAAACTCTCTGATTATGATGATGAAATACATATGAAACTTCCTGCTATGGCTGTAATGATGGAAGCTCTCCGCTTAAGACCAGAGAAACAACATCGATGACAAATTTCTAGAAGCGTTTTAACTTTTTCACAAGTAACTCTCAGTCCTTATTCTGTTTTCAGCGAATTGCCTTTTTTGATAATAAAATAATGTGCAGTTTAATATATAAGTTAAAAATGATTATAATTTTAGCCTGGATTTTGCAAGCTGAAAGCAAACATGATCTGCAAGAATTTATAGTCTGACAAAAAATGTCTTTTTTTAAGCAATTAAATTTGCAGTACAAAAGACATTAAAATAAACATTCATAAAGACATGCTTATTTGAATATCTTAATAATAATTTCTACTTAAAGCAACTTAAACGTTAATACAGCAAATCCAGGTAAATCTTTTCCTGGGTGAAAAACCTGAAGTAAAGAGAATAAAAAACTGCAGCATGTGTAATACAGAAGTTTTTATTAATTCAAGGATAAAAAAATGCTCTGTCACGAACTTTTGCGAAGATTTACGTCGATTGGGTTGGTTAATTAACTACGACAAGGCAGGCATGAATTACCCGTCTAAAGAAAATGATGGCTTCGTGAATGACTTACTCAGGGCGGTTGATTTCGGATATACTTTACATATTGAAAAAGCTTTCACACCGCTATACCACCAATCCTTTCAATCGCTCCACAACATAGATCAGAAAGCGTTCAAGAAAAGAGAAACAGTGATTAAAATCAGTCTGTCAAAATCAGTCTAAGCATTAAAGTATACTCAAGGAGCATTTCATGAACATCGCGAGGCTTAAAATACTATTTAGATGTGAGATTGTTTTAATGTTAGATTGTGCTAAGACTTTACCCATTCCTATAGGTTAACTAATTGTAAGTAATTTGGGAATTTAAAGAAATTTTACAATAAAATTATGTTAAATATTTGAAATATTCCTAAACTTGACAGCTCTATAGTAAAGAAGTGAGTGAGTTAAAAATAAAATATTTTTTTAACAGAGTTCAAAATTCCCTTTAGACAAGGTCTGTGTACGAGTTATCAGTTTCAGCTAAAGTGGTGCAGAAGAAAAAATTGTTATTAGATTCAAAATATTAGTTGCTTCAAAGTTTAAATTATGTAAATAATGTGTATTTGTGACCTATGTTGCATCTCTGATCTTAAGCGGAGAGCTTCATTACAACCCTAGCAGGAAGTTTCTTATGAATTTCATCGTCAGAGAGGTTTTCGTATGTTACACATCCCTTTCCAATTTATGTTATACAAATAGTAAATGTACTAACAGCATTCCATATTTAGATTTGATACTGAATTGTTTTGAAGCATCGTGCCCCACACTGAACTTTGAGCTTGAGGACAGTTAGAATACTAGCAGCATGCTGGTTATAGCAGAAAGTTAAAGATTCGAACATTTTTTGTTCTTTTAATTCTGATAAAGAATAAAGATTGGAAATTAAATAACAAAAATCCGTTTGTTTTTTAAGAGTTTTTTCGCAGTAATTATGGTAAATAAAAGAAACTGAATGAATACTTACTCATAGTTAAGAGCCGAGCAGGTTGATACAGCCAAACTTTGGAGAACCACATCTCTTCGAGTTGCGGGAAGACTGTAGTTGAGATTTTCGGAGCAAATCTTTGCGATCTGGCCAGAGTCAGAATATAGGAGAAACCCTGAATTGCTATAAGTATAATAGCTTTCTTTCGTGCCCCAGTTACTTGGGCTTACGGACACTGAAAAATAAACCAGGAATAAACTTTCAATCTAAATATACTTATTGTAATAACTATACCATATCAGTATTTACGTGATTTATTCCAAATAACTAGAAATAAATAACTAGGAAAAGCAAGTCGGATTCACAATATTGTAAATGAAAAATAAATATGAAATTAGTTTTGAAGTTTTTTTACACATTTCTAAGTACATTACAGCTACAAGAATGTGTTATTAGTACATGACGTGTTGCTTAGAATGCACATAAGAAAAGATTTACGTTCAAACTACTTATATTTTATTTAGAGAAATTTTCTGCTTTAGTAACATAATAAGACATTTAAATTCATCTGTAAATATGAAAATAGGATTAAAATAATTTTGCGTTTCACTGTTTGCATCTTGATGTAAATTTAATTGTAGCAGAATTTCCACTTGCCCAAAATAATAAAGATGTATGGCTGCGCAGGATAATTTAAAATAACCGATAAAATCAAAGGCAACAGTCTACTGGAATAAAAATTTCATCAAATTTTATATGGGAGAAATTTATAAATATTTTTCTTATTGTATTAGGCTTCACCAGTAGCCACAGCTGACTACTGACAGTTAGTTCAACCAGGATTCCAGCCCAGGCAAACGGCTGACTGCATGGTTGAGTTTCGTAAGTATCTGTTCGTAGTCATATATAACGTGAATATGAGCCAGTTACCAAGGCATTTATTAACTAGATTACTCTCTTGAGTTCTTTTTTACAGTTTAAAATTACAAAGAAAAATATTCGTTCTCATTAATTTATGGTCGCCCAGAAGGGCAACCCTGTAATCTGTCTTCAAAAATCACTTTTGTAATTTCTGCGCCCTTTTTTCAATGTTATAATTACAGTTTTTATGTTTTTTAGGTCATTTACAATCTTCAGGCAATTTCCAATCTTCAGGCTGCATGGGCGTTTTCGCGGTTTTCCCCATGTGTAACGTGTATACGAGCCAGTTTCCCTTAGAAAGTCCTCCACGAAGGCATCCCTCCCTTTAGGCAGATAGCCCTCGTGTGCTTTGCCATAATTGAATAATCCAATCCAATCCATTCAAGCATAATGTGCACGGACTGGAAGAACATATTCAATTAGGCAAGTATCGTAGAAACATTAAAAGCCCAAAGCACATTTACATGATATTGAAAAACAATTGTTTTGAAATAGATCTAGGATTATCATAAATAACAACCTACTAAGAGCGAGAAAACAATCAAGAGGGTGTCCACAGGTCCCTTTTCTTGTCGCAGACCTGTAGAACACTATATTCAACAAGATTACTTTCTATAAATGGAAAGAATACACACAGATGATTGCATTTGCAGAAAAATTAACCTTTGTTGTGAGAAGACACTCAAGAGATATTCTGGAGCACAACTGTAATGATACCCTTTCAAAATTCATTGATCTCTGCAATAAACAAAAACTAATCATTTCGGGAAAAAAATAAAAAATTATTCTATTTTCGAAATTGTGTAAAACATGCATGCATAAAAGTCATTAATCAAAAAATTAAAATAGTTAAGGAAATAAAATTTTTAGGCTTAATATTATTTGAACCCAAGATCTCTTGTACACGTACACCACACCCTTACAATATACTTAAAAAATCTCAGAAAATCTCAAGAGCCCTTTCCAAAACGCAGGGATCTTCGTGGGAGGTCTTTAATTAAAAATACAAAATATCCTTTATGATAGGGCAATTGAAAGGATGTTGCTCTACAGAGCAGGTATTTGGACATATCCATTAAACGTATGGAAACGAAGAACATTGGTTTCAATCCGGCGATCATTCCTTCTCCAAACAGCAAAAGTGTTTTGTACAACACCAACTGCTGCCTTATATATACTCCCCCACTCCACATTTAAGCAGCAGAAGAAGCTGACTCGGGAAAAACTGTGAACTTAAAAAAATTGTTATACATTAGTGATCAAGAAAATTAACCCATTATATTATGAATATCCAAAGAACCCATACCTGCGGCACCAGCACCAGATTCGAACATCAAAACTGATATCAAAGCAGAAGTTAAAAAAGTAATCGATTAACCAATGGCCTACAGAGATGGGTCGAAAATTAACAACAAAGTCGGGAGTGCATATGCCATTCTAATTATTTCAGAACTTAAAGAAAAATCTGGAAAGGCTACCTGCGTGAATATAACAGCGTATTCTAAGCCAAGCTGAATGCTATAAAAACGAGAATTATTTGGGAACCCATCATCAAGTCACCTTAATTACTAATTTTCAAACAGTCGGGTAGCAATTGCACATTACAGAAATAAACATCCTATTGTACAAGAGATTTACAATTTAACACTGGAAAATGCCAGTACTAAAATGAAATAAAATTGGTAAAAGCGAATGCTGGCCAAGCGTATTATGTAAAAGCAGATACTCTTGTCAGAGAAGCGGCGCAGAATGAATTACTGCCTACAGTTAGAAATACTACTCCCAAAAACACATATCAAGAGCTTTTTAAGAAAAAACAACACTTCTGAAATCTGGTAAATCGAATGGAATGAGGCACAAGAAGGAAGAAGAATATATGAAATGTACAAGTTCTTCTCATATGACCACATGTCATTTAATCTTTTAGTATATCTACTCATAAGAAGACATGGTCCTTTTCTCACATATTTTTTGCTCGAATTGCCAAGGATTACGTAATTATCTGTCAACTCAGGAAAGAAAACCATTGCAAAACCAGACGCCAGTCACACCAGAAAGTACCAGATATATCGAGTGTGAAGCAGTAAAAAAGAGAGAACTCCAACAGTATGATGCATTTCTTGGCATATAATAGAACAGAAATATGCCAAAACTAATGAAATTAAATATTTATAAATGTATCCAAAACGATCCTTTATGGAACAAATAAAAAATGTACCTATGAACAACGAAACATAAATAGACACCTAAGCATTATCAAAATACCAACTGGTATTTCAAAGTAAAATTATCAGGAACTATGTATATAGAAACAAAGAATGCATAACGGAGCCGGTAAAATGGAACGGCCGCCCAGAAGGAGAAAGTTGAGGTTCCCGAGGCGGGACGCTATATGCCCCGTGTGGATGTTGTGCTAGAACCAGCAGTGCGGAAAACCTGTAAAGCCATAGGCAAAGTTCTGGTGCTCCGCGCACTTTTCTCCGTTCCTGTTTTTGTAGGTGATCAGGCATATTCGGAAAGTAATTCATACTGTTTAAATGAAGACCTTTCATTAACATAATAAATTAATGCCATTGATCATTTCAGCTAGTCTTTCCTTGCAATTCCTAATTTAAATCACTTAATTTCGATGTGATATCTGTAAATCACTGAGTCAAGTTTCATCATTTAAATCTGCCCATGTTTGATCTTGATGTTCGTGAGCACTTTTTGGCTTAGTTAATAAATCACGAATTCGTTGAAGAAATTTACTTCTATTTAGCCACCTTACATGAATATGTAGTAAGCAAACATTTAAAACAGTTGAATATATCTACAAGTGTCGGCTTTTATTGTACACTCCAAGACGGAGTTTTGTTAAATCTTATTGGAATGATAAAGGGTTAGTTACCCTTCCATCTTGTTGTTTCTTGTTACACGAACTTAAGCGATTATTCGCTAACTAGTTTTTAAGATTCGTCACTTTCTACAGTAACTGAGAAATACACTAGTGAGAATCTTATAGCTGATTTTCAACTTCAGCAATAATTTCAATCTTCTTCTGAAAATCATTGAAAACTGAATCTCACGTTTCCAAGAAAGGTTTTTTTTAAAAAAATATCCCATGAGTAAGTGGTTTACATGTTTTTTGCTAACACATGGCTTAATTTGGATAAAGCAATAGCCACTGCGCATGATTTCAATATGAGCTTTTTTAAAAACATTTTCTTGAGCTCTAAACAGCTTTAAGATTCGTAATTTTGTTTTCTCAAGTCACCATATTGCGGATAATCTAAGTTGCATTTGGATGTTGAAATAATTTCCTGTCGGCTATGATTGAACAAAAATCGCTTCGCGGTCGACTTGCTGCAGTTCCTGTTATATATATTTATATGCTTCGAAAACTACCTTTTTCTCTCTAGAAAACTAATGAAAAAAACTTTCTTGAAGTTATGGCTACCTGCTATAAGAACGAAACTAAAAAGAATCCAAAGTGTTTCTGAAAATTTCCTAAATACGACACCGAAGTAAGAAAATACTACAAAGCCGTAAAAAGCGATGATCAGAGAATTTAAACAGTGACGATGTTCAATGAAGAATTTCAAAAATACTACACCAATATGATATTGCCAACGAAAACTGTGAAAACGACGCTAGAAAATACTTATAGAAAAGCAACTGCATTTTCCTCGTTATCCTGTTAAAAATAAAATTTATGGATAAATGTTTCTTGAAAATAAAACTAAAAGTGAAATAGATTGGAAAAAAGGGCTTTGAGGACTGAAATTAGGACATTTTGATTATAAGGGACAGATACTGTTCTTAGACTCGCTCCAATATTCGATGTGGGCAATTCATATCCTATAGAAGATTTTAATATTTACAGTCTTTTTCTCCGTATCCGCTTCTTCAGTATTCCCGGTTTTACATATCCGCGGTTCAATGCGGCAGAAAAAGTAACGCTGTAAGCTTCGAAATGTAAGCGACGTGGCAACAGCTTGTAAACTAGTTGAACTACAACAGCTCGAATACGCCTAATATTATTTTCTGTCATCTAAATGCTCTTTTTCTAGCAAATATAACTTAATACACGGAATGGAAATGGACTTCAAATAAATTTTTTCTATATTTTCAAAACGTAGGAAATCTTTCAAGCTCCGGGTTTACACTGCTGGTTATGAATGGAAAGTATTTGATTTGTTTCTGCATAAAATCTTTTTTAGTTCACTCTCAATCTTGCTTCTAGCATTCATCCTATTTTGATTACTAAGTCTCCTAGTTTCGCACTTTAAAGGTAGGATACTATCTTTAAATGGCTGCATATTTTCCAAGCAG